ATGCCCATTTTGCAGATCAGAGAGGCAACAATGACATAGTGGATAGAGAACTGGCTTTGAAATCAGGAAGACCTGGGTTCAAGTCTTGCCTCTGACAGATACTGACTGTGTGACCCTGGGTATGTCATTTAACTTCTCAGTACCCCTCCCAAAAAAATTTTTCTAAGATTGTAAGTTGCAGACCTGCATCAATAGAGGTTGTTTCCTCACTGGGTGTTCCTTATAGTAATGAAATCAAAGGTCTAGTTCCTATCCCTATTTTACAGATTAGAAAACTGAAGATCAGAGAGAGTTTGATTCGCTCGTAGATTACGATGAGCATAGATATCAATAAACATAAGTTGCCAGGCTATTTCAGTCATGTCTTACTTTTTGTGACATAGCTCCTTGAGATCTTCTCAGTTTCATTATCTAAGATGAACACAAAGCACTACCCATGCCTCTGAGGATATCGGACCATGTGCCCTTGAAAAAAGCCTTGGAGCCTTCATCATGAGCAATCTTCCTCCCAAGGTCAATTGCACCTGTATGCATGACATCAGCTGCAAAGGGAAGAAATGGTAGAAGACTTACTGTCTCATGGCTCTGTCTCTCTAAAGCTGTTACCATTTTTAAAATGTATACAATCTGCAAGCGCAAAATCACACCAAATTCATGTCTGAATATTAACCTAGATCATACTGGAACCATTGTCCAAGAGGGAACAGCAAAATAGGAAACTCAAGACTGCCAATGTTTTTAGATAACATATTAACTATTGATATGAAATGGATGAAATGCTATTGGACTCAATGCCAGCTCTCTGATAGTGTGCTAGAGTAAAAAAAAGGACCCCCCCCAAAAAAAGAAAAAACCAACAAAAAACCCTGCCATCATCTCTTACACAGCCAAAAAACTTTTTTTAAACCAGGAGAGAACGAGGAAATGGTGATGTTTTTCATTTGTTTGTTTTGTTTCCTGTGAATTGGCATATTTTATGTAACATCAAATGTTCCAAATGGACTCCTGAACAACTCGTAAATTACAACTGCTATTTATTAGTTGGAAATAGAAAGCAGTAATATTCACTTGCCAGTTTTCTCCAAAGCCATTCCTATTAAAGGATTCTATCATTAAGATAGAATTCAATGTATTTTTTAAAGTTTTACTCCTATTAAGTAACTATTTTAAAAATAAAATGAACAATTTGAACTAATTGTGTTTGGTTGGTACTTTTAAAAATGTTTTTACCTTAATAAATCTTACAGCTACAGGTATAGACTTCTGAGATGAAGACAACTTCATAAATTCAGTTTTTTAAAAATGTTCAGATAATGTTACACAAGGGATACCTTGGTTATATAATGATTTTGCCATATTTTATGCATGAGCCAGAAGGGAGATTTTTCAAATAACTTCTTATTGATATTTTTGGGTTTTTACATCATCACAATTATTGCCAGCATCCATCCTCCTCATCCCAGACAGTCATCCCATATAGCAAATAGTACTTTTTAAAGAGGAAAAACAGTCATCACAACTGATCGAAGCATTGAAAAAGTTCAACGTGTAAAAATGTATCACATCTGTGGACTTCTCACCTCTAAAGATGGGTGAGTGGGGGATATCCTCTCTTGATCGCTATAAATTTCTTACTTTTATTTTTTTATTTTTTGATGCGTGGTTGTTCCTTCCATTTATATTGTTGTAGTCACAGTGTGTATTGTGTCTTTTTATTCTGCTTGCTTCACTCTGCATCAGTTTATGTCAGTTTTTCCAGGATTCTCTGCATTCGTAACACAATCATGTCTTCCAGCAAAGGAATATTCCACTACAAATTGTTGAGTCATTCCCAATGAATGGGTGTCTCTTTTGTTTCCAATTCTTTGCTATCCAAGAAAGTGCTGCTATAAATATGTTGGTGTATGTGGGTTCGTTCTTCTTGTCAATGGCTTCCATAGGGTAAAAACGTAGTAATGGAGTCTCTGGTTCCAAAGGTAAGAACATATTAGGCACTTTATTTCCATGATTCCAAATCATTTTCCAAAATGGTTGTACCATTTCAAAGCTCCACCAATAATGTGTAAGTGTGCCTATCTTTCCAGAAACCCTCTAACATTGTTGCCCTTTTTTTTGGTCATTTTTGCCAATTTACAGTGTGTGAGGTAAAACCTTAGGGTTGTTTTGATTTTCATTTCTCTTATTATTGGCAATTTGAAGCCTTTTTTATGTAGCTGTGAAAATTCCTTTGAGAACTGTTTGTTTATATCCTTTGACCACTTATCTATTGGGGAATGGCTATTACTCTTCTATATATACTTATTAGTTGTTTATATTTCTTGATAGCCAAACCCTAATCAGAGAAAATTGATACAAAGATTTTTTCCCATTCAAGAAGGGAGATTTTTAATTTTTCTTATTTTTAAAATTTGTTTTAGTTTTCAACAATCACTTCCATAGGCTTTTGAGTTTTAAATTTTCTCCCCCTCCCTCTCCACCTCCCTTCCAAGATGGCGTGCAATCTGATATAGGCTCTACATATACATTCCTATTAAATGGATTTTCATATTAGTCATGTTGTAAAGAAGAATTAGAACCAATAGGAGGAACCACAAGAAAGAGGAAACAAAACAAAACAGAGAGAAAAAAGAGCAAATAGTATGCTTCGATCTGCATTCAAACTCCATAGTTCTTTCTTTGAGTCATGAGACTTTTGGAGATGTCTTAGATCCTTACAATGCTGAGAAGAGCTAAGTCTAATAAAGTTAGTTCTAACATAATTAATATAACTAATAACAAAGGCAGCTAGGTGTCACAGTGGATAGAGTGCTGGTCTTAGAATCAGGAAGACCTAAATTCAAAGCTGGCCTCAGAATAGGGCAGTTTCCAGGTCTCATCTCCACAAGGATCGCTCCCCTGGATGATGGCCAGAGGTGTCAGGCTAGAAGCCCCTGGTGACCAGGGGCTCTTTGGGCTCAAGTACCTGGGCTACCCCCTTCAGGGTCTGAAGTGAGGTGTTTGCTGTGGTTTCCTCCTTCCCTCCCCCGCCCCAAGATGGCAAGCAATCTGATATAGGTTATACATGTACAATCATATTAGACGTATTTCCACATTAGTCATGTTATGAAAGAAGAATCAGAATAAAAGGGAAAACCCATGAGAAAGAAAAAACAAAAAAAGTGAAAATAGTGTGCTTTGATCTGCATTCAGACTCCAAATTTCTTTCTCTGGATGTGGTTAGCATTTTCCATCATGAGTCTTTAGGAGTTGTCTTAGATCTTTGTATTGCTGAGAAGATCCAAGTCTATCAAAGTCAGTCTTCGCACAATGTGGCTGTTACTATGTAACATCATTTCTTATGGAACAATAGTACTCCATTACATCTTTTTTTTTCTCCTTTTAAAAATCCTTTTTAAAAAGTTACCAAGGTAACTGTGGTTGGGTTAGGGGGTGGAGAGAGCGAGGTTTCTGGGATGGAAGAGGGGTATACAATCCCAAGAGTCTTAATGCAGTTTTAAGCTTTAGAAGTTTAAGATTGCACTAAGACTTTTGGGACATGCGATACGTGGAAATGAAGATGATGTAAAAACAAAAGAAAGCAATCAAAATGAGATTTAAAAAAAAGTAAACTTGAGTTGCTTTTTCTCTCTAAAAGGCTGCATTTTCCATATCATCTAGAATCATAGTCTCCTAACTCTAGAGCTAGAAAAGACCCCAGAACCCATCTAATCCAACACCCTCATTAGACAGAGGAGGGAACTTGAAGCTCAGATAAGGCAGTGACTTGCCTGACATCAACACAGGTAGTAAGCGACTGAACCAATATTGGAACTTGGGTCCTCTCTCTCCGGATCTAGCCTCTTCTTTTCACGAGCAAATGCATGGTGATGACAGAACTCTGGTTTTTTTCTTGGCAGTGTTCATGGCCTATGACTCATTTTTCATCCTTCCCAACTCCCCTCAGGAGAGAAATAGAGCCAAATGCTACTTTCTCTTCTTTCAAATATGGACTCTGGAGTTGCTGTTTTACCATTTGAGGGAGGTTGGGTAAGGGGTGGAGTCCTTTGTTTTTAGTTTGTTTGTTCTGGGGTCTTTTGGCTTTGCCTTAGGATGCTCTAGTCTGACATTTGACAGGAACACAAAATGCTAAATGCCCTTGTTGAGTTCCAGCAAATGGGGGAGGGGAAAATATAGCAACTTTTAATAGGGTCCTTTATAACAATGACTTGATTTTTAATTTAATTAAAAAAATTTTAATTTAGAGGCAGCCAATGGTGCAGTATAGAGCACTAGGCCTGGAGTCAAGAAGACCTGAATTCAAATCCAACCTCAGACTCTTACTAGCTGTATGACCCTGGACAAGTCATTTTGCCTCGGTTTCCTCAGCTGTAAAATGGGAATAATATCCGCATGTACCTCACAGGGTTGCTGTGAGCATCAAATGAGAATATTTGTAAAAGTGCTTAGCACAGTGCCTGGCACATAGTAGGCACGATATAAATGTTCATTCCCTTCTTTTGAGGGAATCTTTTTTTAATGTATGTCTCCCCACTTTTGCCCAGTTACCTTATCACTTGCTGTAGATGGCTTATTTTGCATTCATGCGAATGGTGTTGCAAGTCTGTTTTATCAATTAAACTGAAAATTATTGCTTTTTAAAAAAGGGAGGGAAAGGAATAAGCAAGCCTTGGTCCTAAAATGAGAAAAGAGGCATCCTACCTAGAACTCAAGATGCAAGAATGCTTGGGTACATCTATGGTCACTACAATAGAAACAGACCCATTCAGTTGTGCAGTAAAATGACCTAGGACTAGCTATTGAAGGTCACAGCATCGGGAATAGTGCCCCTCTTCTGAAAATGAAGGTCCAAGGACAAGAAGCCTTTATTAAGCATCTGCTATTGTGCACGTAAAGGTGATGTAAGAACAAAATATGTCAATTAAAATCAGATTTTTTTAAAAAAAGTAAATGTTAGCTTTTCTTTCTTCCTTAAAGGCTTTATCTTCTATTTTGTCTAGAATCATATGGAGATAGCTGAAACGGGCTGGCATGTGAGACATATGTGGAAGGCATGTTTAGCCGAACTAATGGCCTAACTCTAGGTAAGGAATGGGATACCAGTCAGAATTCTTTATTTTGCAACATGGAGAGGCAATGGGGTATACTGGATTCAGGAACTAAATTCAAATTCTGCCTCTGACACCTAACTGTGACTATAAGCAATTTTTTTTCACGTTCTGAGTCTCAGTTTCCTCCTCTGTAAAATGGAGATAATACCTGCAGTCCCTAACTCCTGGACTTGCCATGAGGCGCAAATGATATAGTATATAGAAAATACTTGGCAATCATTCAAAATCTCTAAAAATGCTAGTTACTATCATCAAGATTTCTAAGCCCCACCCAGTGATTCATTCATGAGACCCAGTTTTGACAGCCCTTTGGAGTTTGGCGTAATGGTATTGATCAGTATTATCTGAATCTATGCTGGCCACTTGGCATCAGAATAAAACTGCAGCATGCTCTGGTTTGGTGAAGCCCAATGCTCTGATGCCCTTTTGGGCATGCTTTCCAAAAGCCTCCGCCAACTTATTCTTTTAGGCTCTGACCCTGTCTCTGACCTTGATGCGCCTCTCTTAGGAGCCTTAATGTCCTTCCTTGTGAAATAAGGGAGCTGAGCTGGATGATCCCTTCCAGCTTTTACATTCTGTAAGTCTTATATGCAAATGGATCTGGAATGACATCAGTGTTGGCATTTCCTCCGATGACATCAACTTCAACCCATCCTATGCCACTCTTGCCCAAGGTCTCCCAAAAGTTCACCAGAGGGAAATCAATCAAATGGTTCTGGGGCTTTACTCAATTTCTCTTGACATTATCAGGACGCCAGTAGAGCACATAGGTCCTGCTTTCATGGAGTTTACATTCTAACAGATTCATGTCTGATATAATATTTGTAAAGTACTTACTTAGCACAGTTCCTGGTACATAGTAGGAGCTACATGAATATCTATTCCCTTTCCTTTCTCCCTTCTCTTGTCTTTCTGATTAGAGGGGAAGAAAGGGACTGTTTCCCTTCTGCCTCTGCATCTCCAACACCTCACACAGTACCTGGCACCCAGCAGTGTCTTAATAAATGCTTACTGATTCATTGACAACCTTTCCACCAGTTGTTTTTTTGTTTGTACTGTGTTGCAAACTGACCACATCTGGAAAAACAGAAGTCAACTGGATTCTTTAAAAGTTGCAACGACAGGGGCAGCTAGGTGGCGCAATGGATAGAGCACCGGCCGTGGATTCGGGAGGACCTGAGTTCAAATCCGGCCTCAGACACATAACACTTACTAGTTGTGTGACCCTGGGCAAGTCACTTAACCCCATAGCCCAACCCCCCCCCCGAAAAAAAAAAGTTGCAACGACAGAACCATGCCCAGGTGACTTCATTCTTCCTGTGTATAATTTCCATTTGGAAGGTTAGCTACCATCAAATACTTTCTAGCCAGAAACAAATCACCTACAAACTGTTTGGTTTAATCATGAAAAATCACATAAGCCAGTTTTGAATGAATGACAAACCATTTATTGGGAAGGGAAGGGGAAGGAAGGGAAGGGAAGGTTATATTTTAGCATCTACTAGGTGCCAGGCTCTGTGCTAAGTGCTTTTACAAATATTATCTCACTTGATCCTCACAACAACCCTGCAAGGTAAGTGCTGTTATTATCTTCATTTTACAGTTGAGGAACCAGGAATTCTAAGAGAGGCTAATAGAAGTTAACTGACTTACCCAGGGTCACACAGCTAGTAAGAATCTGAGGTTGAATTTGAATTCAGATCTTCCTGACTCCAGGCCCGGTGCATCTATCCACTGTGACACCTAGCTGCCTCTGTTACTCCTTATATTAATTATAATATAATTACATTGTATATATAAATGTAAATAAACATATAATAACATAAATATAATAGAATTATATTTTATATAAAGTTAACTGCTGGGGATACAAATAGAAAAATGAAATAGACAGTGCTTAGCATAGTGCTTTGCACACAGTAAGTACTTAATAGATACAATATATAAGGAAATGGAATTAATTTTGAATTAGTTATATCTAATATAAAATTATATATGCTATAATTGTATTATAATTCTTACATAATTAATATAACTAATAACAGAGGTAGTTAAGTGTCACAGTGAATAGAGCGCTGGTCTTAGAATCAGGAAGACCTGAATTCAAAGCCTGCTTCAGACTCGGGCAGTTTCCAGATCTCATCTCCACAAAGATTGCTCCTCTGGATGATGGCCAGAGGTGTTAGGCTAGAAGGAGGGCTGGTGGTCAGGGGCTCTTGGGCTCAAGGGCCTGGACATATACCTGGCATACATCTGGCATATACCTGGCATATACCAACTGTTGTCTCTCTTTTCAGGTGCCTGTTTCCTTCAGCTAGGCTGACTTGTCAGCCCTGTTGGTAACTGTTGGCTAGAAGTTGATAGGAATGGTGGCGGTGGTGGAAAAGCCCATAGAAGTTGCCCTACTTGATGATGGCTATGGGGATGACGATGGAAGCAGATGATCTAGGGGGTGCTACCATTCTTTATAAGGGTTGCTCCCCTGAATAATGACTTTTGGGGACCACGATAGAAGCAGGTGATCTAGGTGGTGCTCCCATTCCTAGGGATCTTGGTCTTACCTGCCTGCCAATGATAGTTGAATATTGGTTGTTGGTGATGATGAAGATGGCTGATCATTCTTTGTAAGGGCTGCTACCCTGAATAATGGCTTTTGGGGACCATGCTGGAAGCAGGGTTGGTGGTCTGGGAGCCACAGTTGTTCCTGGGGCTCTTTGCCTTCTCTGCCTATCAATGACAGCTGCAATACCAAGGCTGAAGGAAAAAAAAATAAAGTCTGACTTAGAAATATTTAAGAACTCTGATCAAGGCAATGATTAACCATGTCTCTAAAGGACCTATGATGAAGCATGTTACTTACTTCCTAACAGAGAGGAGATGGACACAAAATACAAAAAGTGACAAACATTTTTAGACATGGCCACTACATATATACCTTTCTCTTAACTACGCTTATTTGTTACAAGGTGTTTTCCCCTTTCTTTCTCTAGTTGTTTTCAGTTTGAAGGGTGGGGGTAGGGATTGGAACAAGGAGGGTTAGCAACAGGAATGGGAAAAATAAAAGGACCATTGAAACATTTTTTAAATGTACAGAAGGAGGGGCAGCTAGGTGGCGCAGTGGATAGAGCACCGGCCCTGAAGTCAGGAAGACCTGAGTTCAAATCCGACCTCAGACCAAACACTTGAAACTTACTAGCTGTGTGACCCTGGGTAAGTCACTTAACCCCAATTGCCTAAAAACAAATAAATAAATAAAAATAAATAGACAGAAGGAACTTCAGAAGGAAGCACAGACAAGCAGGATAGTTTCGAGAGTAACATGGAGAATTTCTTGTATATGTATTTTTAAAAGCACATGGGAGAGAATGGAAATTCGCAATTTCAAAGAGAATCTTTTTGTGCTCTGTATGGAAATACCCTTTTTGCTGTTTAAGTTCAGAACTTTTTAAAAAATTAAAGAGTAAAGGAAAAAATAAAATGATGGCTGATCTTATTTGACTTTTATATAATTAGCCTAGAAAGTAATGGAAATATGCCTGGTGGGTGTGAGTAGGCAGAGGCAGGTTGGCAACCAAGAGAAGAGTAGGAAGAAGAAGCTTGAAGGTTATCATCAGAAATATCTATGACCAGAGAAAGCAGTAGGCTAGTGATGTAGCCAGAGTCAGGGATAACCACTAACTTGTTCGTATGCTCCGTTTGGTATCTGAACGACGTTGGGAGGTCCAGAGGAAGGCCCTTAGCACGTTGGACTGCCTGTGGAGAATGTCCCAGAGGACATCTGTGTGAGGAGTTACACAGGATGAAAAGGTATAGATGGGTTGCAATTTATGCCATTGGAGGAAATACCAACACTTCTGAATAGATTCATTAAAATATCAGAATCACTTTCTCAACTTCTCATGTTTGATCAAACATGTGCATAGACTGTGGACTGGGTATATACATACCTTCAGGAAGTATTTCCACTGATCTTTCCCTTCCTCTCAGGTAGGAAGGAAATAAATATTTAAGTACCTACTATGTGCCAGGCACTGTGCTGAGTGCTTTAGAAATATTATCTCATTTGATCCTCACAACAACCTTGGAAAGTAGGTGTTATTATTATCCCCATTTTACAGTGAAGAAAACTACAGCAGATAGAGGTTAAGTGATTTGCCCAGGGTCACAGAGCTAGTAAAGTATCTGTTGTCATGTTCAAATTTAAGTCCTCCTAACTCAAGGCTCATAGTTCTATCCCCTGCCTCCGGACAAGGGCCAATGGGAATGCTCCTCTAGGGTGTCCCTATACACCCAGTCCATGCTCTAGGCACACCTCTGTGCATGATATGTGCATCAAAAATTGGGCACATAGATTGGAGAATGGCCAAACCAGTTGCGGTCCCGGAATGTACTGGAATATTATTGTGCTATGAGAAATGATGAATGTGAAGAATACAAAGAAACATGAGAAAACTTTTGTGACCTGATGCAGAGTGAAGTTGTCAGAACCAGAAATACAACATACACAATGACTACAATATTCATGGAAAGAAAAGCAGCAAAGCAGATAAAACTTGTTGCTACAGGAATAAAATGCTCAATCTTAGCCCCAAAGAAGAGATAGGAGAAGGCACTTCTCTTCCTTCTTGGCATTTTCTTGATGTGCTGGTTTGCCTTGACCAACTAGTTTTTTTCCCCCTCTTTCTTATTCTTTGGTAGAAGGGCTAATTTTGTGGGAGGGAAAGGTGAGAGGGACAATCCATCGGGAAATGAAACTGATGTAAAAATAAATATCGATAAAAAAATTTTGTTGGATTTCTACCTCATATTTTGTTTCAAACAAAATACAATGCAAATGGTACTTGTATGCAATCTGCTCTTTGCTTTGTGGGAAGATAGGTGAATAGGGCCTGGTTAATAGTTCTCTTCTTAGTGGATAGAGCACCGGCCCTGAAGTCTGGAGGACCTGAGTTCAAATCCGGCCTCAGACCGAACACTTGACACTTACTAGCTGTGTGACCCTGGGCAAGTCACTTAACCCCAATTGCCTAACCCCCCCCCCCAAAAAAATAGTTCTCTTCTTACTCAAAGGGTAAATGAATACTCTGGTCAGAATCCCAGCAACAAATGCCAATAATATTCAAGAAACAGTTTGCAAAGTTCCTTTCATTGCATCTCCCTTTGAGATCAAACAGTGCGTTAAATCAAAGCTATCAAATCATTCTTTGGCTTCTTTCCTGGACTGTCAATAAGGGAGTTGGTAGATGAGCTATTTCCTTTTTAGGGTACACACTAGTCTCAGGAAGTCTCATTCCTTCAGATAACCTTCCCAATGTAGACAGAAATTTAATCTTGGCAGGATTTGAGAGAAAACTCCAAGTATGCTCACCTGCCACTGTTCCAAATGCTATAATAAGGGAGGGCGGATGGGATTAGGGGAAGGGACGGCAATGGCTAGCTAAAGTGTAGCTGCAGCAAATCCAAAAGCTGGTGGTGGCTAAAATTGGAAGTGAGCCAGCCTTATCGGGAGGGCTCCCTAATTGAGAAAGCCGAGTACTGAAAAGGCAACAAGCTCTTCCCAATCCAGCCCTCCCATCCATACACGGCAGCGAGACATGACTCAAGGATGGAGGTTGGTTCTTGGCCTGCCAATAACACCTTCCCTGCTTAAAACTGAAAGTACTTTCCAGAGGATATTGGCTACTAGACTCCCTGATAATATAAATTAGTGATCAAGATAACATATGTAAAATGCTTTGCAAACATTAAAAAGTTATAAAAATGCTTCTTAACTCTTCTCCTGATATTATTCAAGGCTATCCTTTCTCTTTACAAAAATTGAATCTGTTGTAGGCTCCTAAATATAGGGCTGTTCAGAAGCCATAGAGTCCAGTCTCCCCATTTTACAGAGAAGGCAACTGAGGCCCAGGGAAGAGAAGGGACCTGTCCAAAGTTAACAGAGGACTATAGAGCTGGAAGGGACCTCAGAGGCCATCTAGGCCAACCCCCTCACTTTACAGATGAGGAAACTGAGGCCCACGCAGGGCAAGGTACCTGCCCAAAGTCAGACTGGAAGAGGCAGAGCCGGAGTTCAAAGCTAGGTTTTCTCTTTCTAGATCCTGAACTCTTCCTGTCATACCGTGATGCCTGTGTAGTTTTTTAAAGATTATTTTACTGAAGGGGTTCCTTACTTGTTGTAACATGTAGGGCTCAAGATAAACTTGAACTCTAATTCAGATTATGTAGCTAAAGCACTGATTAGGAACAAGTACAAAGTCAAGGACAAGTTGATTCCCGCCCACAATAGGACCTAGTGTCACCCTGATGACACACTGGCTTAGGATGAACCCTGATACATGTAGTAGCCAGTAAGTACAATTCGTTCTTTAACCAAAAAGAAATTCCCTTTCTCTCAATAGAAAAACAGCTACCAAACTCTCAGACTTGGAGTTACCCACAAGGCAAACTCCAGGGCTACTAATAGCAAGGCTAGATTCCACGACTGCACTGCCCATGAATTATTCTTATTGTGATAGAAGGCTAGGGGTTCAGGAATTCTCCCCACATATGGTTTCTCTCTCCACAGTTGCCAAGTGGCTGAGAGCGCTGTCTCTCCAGGACTGTGTCCAGACATTCTGAATATAGCACCATGGCCCCAGCTGCAGCCATCCTTGCCCAAGAGGCTCTCATCTCTGGAGTACTTGGTCACTTTTTCCTTTCCATGGCTTCCTCATGGCTGAAAGTATTCTGCTCCCATGCACTCGGCCCCAAGGCAGCCATTAACACCTGGGGTCGGGGCACAGGGGGCAGGAAGCAGTATACACAGGTCCTTCACCTCTCAACCTTAGTCTAATCCTAGCTCCAAGCAAAAAGGCAAGAAACAAAAAGGGACTAAAAAGGATCTGTTAACTCCTCTCCCAACTGTCCAGTCCATTATAGTGTAATAATCCATTCATCCTGGGAGATGCCTCCGTGAGTGAAGCCCATCTATAAAAGGCAGCATAGTGGATAGAGCGCTGGACCTGAAGTCACTTCTGAGGCATGCTACACATTTCTGGACAGAGAGGAGATGGACTCAAGATGAGGAATGGAATATACATTTATATATGTACATATTATATACACACATCTACATGCATGTATACATGTATAGACACATATGTGTATGCATAGACATGTGTGTGCACACATACATACACATATACATATTTGGGGGGTGAAGCAATCAGGGTTAATTGACTTGCCCAGGATCACACAGCTAGTAAGTGTCTGGGGCCGAATTTGAACTCAAGTCCTCCTGACTCCAGGGCCCGTGCTCTATCCACTGTGCCACGTAGCTGCCCCCCAGGATATATATATTTGGACATGACCAATGTAAGAATTCATTTTGCTTGAAATTTGTTACAAGAGCTTTGTATTTTTTTTCCCCTCTTAAATTGGGAGTGGGGTTGGAATAAAGGTGGAAGGGAGAAAAAAATGCTTGCTAATTTAAAAAATAAAATAAAAATAAAGTCTCAATTCTGATACTTACCAGCTGTGACTCTGTCATTTCACTCTCCTGGACCTCAGTTTCTTCATCTGTAAAATGGGTAGGTTGGAATAGATGACCTCAAAAGCCCCTTCCAGCTCTTGACCCAGAATCCTCTGATCCATCTCCACAGGAAGGTACAATCAAGGTGGTGAAGGAAGGCTCATCAGGTCATCATGAAATTAATTTGATCAACTCTCTCCATTTTAATGGTAATACTTGGAGTCAAGGTCAACCAGAGAGTAAACTTAGTGCTTGGGCTTCTGAGAAAAAGAATGTCATT